AGTCTGCCCATAATGCTCTGCATACATGGGGCTTTGGCATGTTGCACTTAACTGCATTCATTTGTACTACTCTGTATCATGTTCAAATAAATAAATATATAAATAAATAAATAAATAAATAAATATCATAGTTGTACAGTAGGAGAGTAATTATTTCATAGTTGTACAGTAGATTATTAATTGTAAGTGAATCAAAATATGTATAAGATAAAAGATGTATTCATTTATTTGAAAATGCTTTTTGTGAAAACAATGATTCAATTATATTCCTGTCAACAATGGGTAAAAGATTCAAAGTGATTGTTGAAGTTATGATGTGGGAGTATGTAAGTGAGTGTGTACTGAGTATTTAGCGTTTAATCTAGGGTGATTAAGTGGCTTTTGAGAAGAGTCTTAAATTGATTTTCAGACCGGGTTACTTTAATATCTTCTGGTAATGAATTCCATATTTTGGGGTCCTTTATGTGCATAGATTTTTTACACAGTGTGATATGGACACGAGGTATATCAAATAGAGATCTGTGTCTTGTGTTGTGGTCATGTGTCCTGTTTAAGTTGGTGAGGAGGAGTTTGAGTGGAGAGTTTATATTTGCCTGTATTGTTCTGTGTATGTAATAGGCACATGAATAAGTATGGATATTCTTAATGGTGAGCAGATTCAGACTTTTGAAAATTGGTGGAGTATGCTGGCGGGAGTAGGAATTTGTTATCATTCTTACTTGCCTTTTTGCTGGGTTATTAGGGGTTTTAGGTAGTTGGATGTTGTTGATCCCCATGCACAAATTCCATATGTAAGATAAGGGTATATGAGTGAATGGTACAGTGCCAGGAGAGCTGATTGTAGAACGTAGTACCTTATCTTTGATAGTATGCCTACAGTCTTGGAGATTTTCTTGGTGATTTGTTGTATGTGTCCGGAACTTAAGGCTGCTGTCAAGGTGGATACCTAGGAATTTTCCCTCTGTGAGTCTTGTGATTAATGATCCATTTAGCGTTATGTTAACTGGATCATTTGCAGCTTTGTTTTCAAACTGAATGAAATAGGTTTTATCAGTATTCAGGGTAAGTTTATTAGTCATCATCCAGGCAGATATTTTCTGCAATTCGGCATTGACTGTGTTTGCTAGTTGTAGTGATACTGCTCCTGTGGGGAGCAGCAGCGGGATAATACTGCACCACCTCTCGGGGCCCTTAACAACAACAGTTTGGTGTGTGTCATGGGCGCCAACACATGGTGTGTGATTCTCTTCTCTTCTATCCCTATATTAGCGATGCAGATTACATGGTGAGTTTAAATATGTGGCCTGTAGTTATAACTTTTCTCTTGACATATGCAAGACATCACCATCCCTGTAGAAGCCGTTATTAGATGTACTAGTCATTATATTTTGTTGTTGCAGAAGTACTATGAGGATTCTATGTTCAATAAAGCCTAGAGATAAGGCCTGTGTTTCTATCACAACACTAGTATGACTGTGTTTGGGTGGGAAAAGACATGTAGTGTCATCTGCAAATAATATGGGTTTGAGTAGCTGTGATGCATTCGGTAGATCATTGATGCAGATGAGAAAGAGGAGTGGTCCAAGGACGCTTCCTTGTGGGACTCCTACTGTGATTGGCTGGGTGGAAGAGTCTGCATCATTTGCATACACATATTGAGTTCTGTTACTAAGATATGATTTTAGGTAGTTGAGGGAGTGGCCTCTGATACCATAGTTCGTCAATTTGGGGTACAGCAGTTCATGGTCGACTGTATCGATACTTTACGTAAATCAATGAAAATGCCCAACGGGACTTCTTTCTTTTCGAGTTCTAGCATGTGTATGATAACATCATTTGTGCTTTTATTATTCCTGAATCCAAACTGACAAGGGTTTAATATGTTGTGTGAGATGAGGTACGAATAGATACGTCTATGAATTAATTTTTCAAAGATTTTAGAGAGCAGTGGTAAGCTAGATATTGGTCTATAGTTATTCAAGTCAGCTTGGTCACCTCCTTTGTGGATCAGAGTGACCCTCGCTATTTTGAGGATTGTTGGGAAGGTAGATGATTCAATGGATTTGTTAAAGAGCGTTGCAATAATTGGTGACAATACTTGAGAAGCTTTTCTGTACATAAAAGAAGGCAGGTTGTTTATGTCTCCTGCCTTGTTTTTAAGGGTGTTTATGATGAGCGTAACTTCTATGGGGTTGGTTGGAGCTTGGAATAGTGTATTTGGGTAGGTACCTATGAGGTAGTCTGATGGACTGGTGTTTGCGCCTTGTATTTTGTTTGCTAATTTTTTTCTATGGTGAAGAAGAAAACATTGAGTCTGTTCGCTGTTTCAGTAGGTGGGAGAAGAGGTTCATCTGATTTTGTTAGTTTGATTCTTTTGTTTTTGGATAACTTTTTAGTTCCAAGAATTTCAAATAGAGTTTTCCAGGATTTTTTCATATCACCTTTGATGTTATGTAATCTATTTTCATAACACAATTTTTTAGATCTTCTTATCAGGCTGGTAAGTGCTGACGAGTAACGTTTAGACTGTTCTCTAGTTATTTGACCCATTCTATACTGTTTTTCATATTTGTGATTTGTGTTAATGAATTTGAGGATGCTTTGTGTTAGCCAGGGACTATTCAATATCTTTTCTGTGATCTGTTTAGTTTTTCTGGGGCAATGTTTGTTATAGAGGCTTTGGGCCTTTTTTAGAAAATTATTTATACATTAATTCATATCTGTATATGTTTCAAGCTCATTTTGCCAATCGATGTTATTCATAGCTGCTATAAAGTTGTTAACTGCTGTCTCGTTATGTAGTCTGAAGGTTACTTTAGTAATGTCTTGTGGTAGTTTGCCCAGATTAGTTATGAGAAAGGTTGGGTAGTGGTTTGTAGTGTTGTCTGTGATTATGCCTGATTTTAAAGGGGATATGGTGTTTGTCCAGATGTGGTCTATAAGGAGATGCTTGTCTCGGTCTTACCGTGTGAAGCAAGAGCTTTAGCCATCCACAATGGAGATAAAAACTACAACGAAGATAAGGACTACAACGAAGATAAGAACTACAACGAAGATAAGGACTACAACGGTGATAAGGACTACAACGGTGATAAGGACTACAACGGTGATAAGGACTACAACGGAGATAAGGACTACAGCGGACATAAGGACCACAACGGTGATAAGGACCACAGTGGAGATAAGGACCACGATGATGATAAGGACCACAATGGATATAAGGACCACAACGGTGATAAGGACCACATTGGAGATAAGGACCACGACGATGATAAGGACCACAACGAAGATAAGGACCACAACGGAGATAAAGACCACAATGGTGATAAGGATCACAAGGGTGATAAGACCACAACAGAGATAAGGACTACAACGGAGATAAGGACCACAACGGTGATAAGGATCACAACGGAGATAAGGACTACAGCGGAGATAAGGACCACAACGATGATAAAGACCACAACGGAGATAAGGACCACAACGGTGATAAGAACTACAACGGAGATAAGGACCACAACGGAGATAAGGACCACAACGGAGATAAGGACCACAACGGTGATAAGAACTACAACGGAGATAAGGATCACAACGGAGATAAGGACTACAACGGTGATAAGGACTACAATGGAGATAAGGACCACAACGGTGATAAGGACTACAACGGAGATAACCACAACAGTGATAAGGATTACAACAGTGATAAGGACCACTAAGGAGATAAGGATCACAACGGAGATAAGGACCACAACGGTGATAAGGACTACAACGGAGCTAAGGACCACAACGGTGATAAGGACTACAACGGAGATAAGGACCACAACGGAGAGAAGGACCACAAGGGCGATAAGGACTACAATGGAGATAAGGACCACAATGGTGATAAGGACCATATCGGAGATAAGGGCCACAATGGTGATAAGGGCCACAACGGTGATAAGGACTACAACGGAGATAAGAACCACAACGGAGATAAGGACCACATCGGAGATAAGGACCACAACGGAGATAAGGACCACAACGGTGATAAGGACCACAACGGAGATAAGGACCACGATGGAGATAAGGACCACAACGGTGATAAGGACCACAGCGGTGATAAGGACCACAACGGTGATAAGGGCCACAACGGTGATAAGGACTACAACGGAGATAAGGACCACAACGGAGATAAGGACCACATCGGAGATAAGGACCACAACGGAGATAAGGACCACAACGGTGATAAGGACCACAACGATGATAAGGACCACGACGGTGATAAGGACCACAACGGAGATAAGGACCACAACAGAGATAAGGACCACAATGGTGATAAGGACCACAACGGTGATAAGGACAACAACGGAGATAAGGACCACAACGGAGATAAGGACCACAACGGTGATAAGGACCACAACGGAGATAAGGACCACAATAGAGATAAGGACCACAATGGTGATAAGGACCACCCGTTTTTTAATGCATTCACACACTGTGACCTTTGCAAAGACGTAAAATGTTTGTACATGGTTTACGTGCGGCCAACAGTAACAGCCTGGATTACAACTTTGCAATACCTGGAGTCAGTGGTCAGTGGTCAGTGGTTAGAGGGTGGCTAACCCTCTGGGGTTAAAATTCCTAACAAAATCTTATCTAATGACCATATGACCTGTTTCTGCTCTACAAATCATTGATTTTATTCGATCTGATTCGATTATATTATACATTGTTATGCTACAAATTTGTACAACTATAAAGCTTCTTATTTGAAATACTCATTTGTACTTCATGTTGTAATTTGTTTACTGTAATTTTTACCACTGAATATATTGCTTAGTTAATTTTAAGTTAATTTTAAGGACCACAATGGAAATAAGACAGACAGTCCCTCGATGACACAATGACTTTCTTGGATTATCCTGGGTGGCTAACCCCCCGGGGTTAAAATTCCTAACAAAATCTTGTCTTATCTTACCTAAATATACATACTTAATCTTGTGTTCTTCACAGTTACCGTTCGAATCTAAGGTCACAATTACCGTTCAAATTTAAGAGTAGAGTACGGCATGAGTGGCGGTCGCCCTATAAACCAACAACAAGATATTTGTCTCCATTCTCTAATGCCTTCTAATTTATTTTTTATACTTTAAGGTGAGGCAAACTAGCTAAGAAATATTCCCCGTGTGTTCTAAATATATTTTCTTGCAAATTTAATAACAGTAACAATTGACTTCCCTGTAGAGTGGTGGTACAGGGACGTCAGTGGAAGTAATATATAAGCAGCAGTAGGCCTACTAGATGCTGCCTATAGGCTCTTATTATCTGCCATTAGTGATATGAATAAAAGTCAGTCAGCGCCAGAAATAAACGCATTAATAAACTAATTATCAGTGCTGTATGTCCCTTGTAGGTTTAGCGCTTCTTTTTGATAATAAACTAATTATAAATATTTTAATTCAAGAAATCGCTCTCCTTCTTGCAGCTTCAGCAGCATTGTATGACCCTTGTGGGTTTAGCGCTTAGATAATAATAATATAATGATATAATAAAAATAATACAATAATAATAATAATAATTCATTCCCTCAAGGAGGTGCCTCGATACTGGTGAGGGGCTCTTGATCCAAGGAATTGGACTTTTTCTCTTCCTTGGATCAAACGTAATTGCCTACCATTCTCCAGAGTTGTATAGCCCCTACAGATTTAGTGCTTCCCACTAATTAAAATAGATAACTTTTTAGCATCACTCATTAATTTTCTGTGGGTCTTTTTAGTAAGTTTATTCAGGTACAGTTACTTATAATACAGTTACATGAATTATACATATCAACATATGTGTAAATTACCCACCAGGATAACCCAGAAAAACCAGTCGGGCATTGTGACATTTTCAATTTTGTTTATCCTGATCTATGTGTTCTGTAGATGAATCTAATCATCTTATGTTGGATAATTTGTAGTCTGTTTTTTCAGTTTTTATGTTAGAGCGGAGTACATACCGTGACAAATGAAAATAATCATCATAACCTTGTATGTAAGATCTAAACATAATATAACATACCTAAGTAGTTATTCACTAAATGTCTGTAGAAAAACTGGTACCTGGCATTTGTTCATTATCACTTCACCTGACATGCACAGATCAAGTGATATTCCTAGGTGTTTCACTGAAGTTACTGCCAGGATAACTTCCTCATTACAAAGCAGTATATTAAAATTGTCTGCTCTTTTCTGTTTATCTTTTGAGCCAAATAACATGGCTTGGTTTTTCCTAAATGCAGTGACAGTTTGTTCCTCATTAATCATTTATTGCAGCACTAGTTCCAGTGATAATACTTTTGCTATATCATTATCCAGATGAGCAGAACTCTTCATGACATTCTAGAGGAGGTAGATACATTAATGAAAATCAATTAACCTGACATGAAAATCAAAGGATATTACTAAATATTTCATTCTTTAATGGGCAAGCCTTGATACTGGTGTAGGTCTCTTGATCTAAGGAGTTAGAGTATCTTTCCCTTCCTTATATCAAATATGAATACCTCTCCTTTGTCATTTTCTAGGATTGTAGAGCATATAAAGAAGTAAATAAAAAGAGAAAACACATATAATATATGAACATATTAACTTTGTGTAAATGAAAATTGTTTTGTCTTGATGCTGAGTGCAGCAGGTTCATGCAGTCTTGTATAGTATATCAACATGCATGATGTAATATATGATCTCATTATTCCAGTGAATTATATATATGCAGTATGGAAGTGTAAATCAAAATTGCCTTACCCCAGAGAACCTGCAGCTACAATGTCAGGGTCAGGGGGCAGCGAGGATGTTGACTCAAGCATTAAGGCTCAGTTGGAGGATGAGGTGATTCGTGAAGCTCTCACTTCAGGCACAGATCTTAGACAGTATTCTCAGTCTGTTGAGAAAGAGCTCCGACAGGTAAACAACAGCTGAACCTTTATATGACTGAAGTAAAAGTGTATTTTGCTATCAAGAGTTATTGATGAAAAGAAATATTTGTAACTTAATCATAGCATATTGTAAATTCTGTAGAAAATTTGACAGAACTCACTGTATGTGTAGTGTTTGTGTCATTTACAGCCTCTCCTCACTTAGTGATGTACTTGTTTACTGACGACTCGGACTTATGATGGGCTCTCTGACCAGTATGCGTACCTAAATAATGTATATTAGAGCTGATTTCCTCTATTCTGTTTATTACAGTATACAGTACACTACTGTAGAAGCATTTAAAAATATACTAGAATTGTTATAAATGGTGCAAAGGTTACATTATAACATTACCAAAGATGAAAATTAAGACATATGTTCAACATCTGGGTATCTTTATTGTAGACATTTCACCATCCAGTGGCTTTATCAATACAAATACATACTAGGAGATAATTTGAAGACAGTTAGTTAGTTTAATATGTTTATTATGCACCCCATACCCATCCTGTGGGCGGTAGTCAAAAGATTACAGAGGTACATAATTGGTCCAGGGACTGGACTCCAAAGTTTTGATAGCTGAGCAAGTTACAAAGGTAATGAACTAGATCTGGTCATAATCATGACCAAGTTACAAAGGTAATGAGCTCCAGGTTGAGCTGGTTACACTCATGAATAATTGCAAAGGTAATGAATCATAAACACATTAATCATGAGAATTTACAAAGGTAATGAGCTCCAGGTAGAGCTGGTCAAAATCATGACAAGTTTCAAAGGTAATGAATGATAAACATGTTATGACATGATTACAATCATAGACAAATTACAGAGTAATGAGCAGTTAACAAACATAGTAGGGAATTCATCCATTGCCCCAACAACAGATGTTGCTAGGTGCCTGTCTCTCCTCGGTAGACAGCCATTGGAAACAGCAGCAAGTTGCCCAGGGATCTGCTGCTTGCACGAGCACCATCGACCCTCCCCAAGAAGTCCAAGAAGCCAGTGACTCCGTTAGCAGCCCGATGGAGAGCTGTCCTAGGGACATGTCAGCGTCCTGGTGGACGCCAAGTTGATTGAAGATCCCAGGCCCTCGTGTGCACGGATGTTGAAGCTTGAGGAACTGAGTACACACTTCCTGTGGCACACCTAACAGCTGCCTCGCGGTCGAACTCCACGATGCTGTCCCTGTAGTGGAAGTTCCTGTGAGCCCGGCACTCCCTGCAGTGTCATCGCGGGTTAGGGGAGAAGTACCCTCTACAGATGGGGTGGCGCTGGGAGTTGGGTGGGTGAGGCGGAGGAGACACGCAGGGGTGAGGCGTTATGAGAGGGTCACTGTTTACTACACACGCCCTCCCCCTCCCCCCCAGCGGAGAGGGGGGGAGGCGCTGACTGGTCCTGACTCGACAACACCAAACCCTCTAAAACTGCACAACACTTCATCTATTTACGCTGAAACGATGCACTGGGATGTCCGTTTGCTGCTCTGGTATCTTCTCAAAGCATTCACACTGAGTTCTCTTAAGTAGAACTATATACAAAAGATGAGGTAATCAGTCCCTCAGCCTTGGAGTTGGTGTGAAGAGCACTGTAGTCTTGAAGATTCTAGAGCACAGGCAAGAAGGCTGGTGCTTATATGGTTCAGAGGACTTCTGTATGACCTTCTTCACGGCTACGACAACTATTACTACAACTAACCCATGTCTTTGGGTATGACCTACTTCCACTGGGAAATCCTGCCTAACAGTGACTATGCCCTCGTCAGCTACCCTTCCCATTCCACCTGACGTTAGTACAGTATATAAGCACCAGCCTCCTTGCCTGTGTTCCAGAATCTTCACGACTACGGTGCTCTTCACACCAACTCGAAGGCTGAGGGACTGATTACCTCATCTTTTGTATATACATGTAGTTCTGTCTTCAAATTATGTCCTAGAATTTGTATTGATAAAGCCACTGGTTGGTGAAATATCTACAATAAAGATACCCAGATGTTGCACATGTATCTTAATTTTCGTCTTGTTGGTATCACATACCATTCTGTACAATATCAAAGATGGTTGACACAAACCCACTACCATTATAGTATGCTCCTCACTTAGCATTGAATTCGTTTACCAACAAGGTCTCAGGAACAGAACTCCGTCATTAAGTGAGGAGAAGCTGTACAGTAGGACCCCCATGTCCGTGGGGAATACTTTCCATGGATACTGAAACAGTGGATAGTATTGAACCCTATATATGTTCTTTTTCGTTTAATTGATAAATTACACACAATAAGTGGAGAATCATCACTTTTTCACTGATGAGAAGCACTTAACGGCTTTTCTTAGGCTTTGAAGAACTTTGAGGCCATTATTAAGCAAAATTAAGGGTTATTTTTGGGCCATGGTAAACCATGGATAACTGAAACTGTGGATACTGGACCTGCAGATACGGGGATTCTGCTGTATGCAGTAGTTTTGAAAAATTATATATATAAAAAAAAAAGTAAATAAGTGAAATAGCATGAGTAAAATTGTTGTCTAATGTTCCAGCTGGAAAATTTGAGCATTCAGGATTACATCAATAAGGCCCAAAATATAGCAACACTTCACCACCAAATAACAGAATGTGATTCTATACTTGAGGTAAGTTTCAGAATAAAGCATAAAACAAGCTTAAAAAAGTTTTATCAGTGTTCTGTGCAGTTTCAAATTACTGTATCATGCTGTAGTTTTATAGAAGTCAGAGTAATCACCATATCTGTAACAAAATATTCCATGATTAGATAATTAACATATGCTAGGAGTTTTTTTTTTTATGCAGATCAATTTTACAGGCTAAGAGCTGTTATCCTACCTCAGCTCATTACAAAACCCAGTCTTTTATCAGGTTTACTACTGTGTGTTGTGTAAGGTATACTACCAACCCCCAGGATGCGACCCACAAGTCGACTAACATCTAGGTATTTGTATAATGGGTCAACCACATTTCTTTCTTTCTTTCTTTCAACACACCAGCCGTATCCCACCGAGGTGGGGTGGCCCAAAAGGAAAAACAAAAGTTTCTCCTTTCATATTTAGTAATATATACAGGAGAAGGGGTTACTAGCCCCTTGCTCCTGGCATTTTAGTCGCCTCTTACAACACGCATAGCTTACGGAGGAAGAATTCTGTTCCACTTCCCCATGGAGATAAGAGGAAATAAACAAGAACAAGAGCTAGTAAGAAAATAGAAGAAAACCCAGAGGGGTGTGTATACATATGCCTGTACATGTATGTGTAGTGTGACCTAAGTGTAAGCAGAAGTAGCAAGACGTACCTGAAACCTTGCATGTTTATGAGACAGAAAAAACACCAGCAATCCTACATCGTGTAAAACAATTACAGGCTTACGTTTTACAGTCACTTGGCAGGACGGTAGTACCTCCCTGGGCGGTTGCTGTCTACCAACCTACTACCTAGGTCAACCACATTTATCAGAGATTTTTTGGTTGGGATATAGTTGTTAATCAATCTTCAGTCCAATCTTCATTCCCCCAAAGGTAGAGGGGAGCACTCTTGATCACAGGACGTACAGAAGAGATTGTAATACCAACAACCTTTACTGAGACAAATATCTCGGTGAAGATTTCCATTCTACCATTTTTTTGTGTGTCAGAGAAAACAGAGCTGATTTAATTCCAGCATTTTCTCAGAACAAATCTGAGTATTTCTCCCTCCCCTCCCCTGCTAGGAAATGTTTGATACATTGATGACTTGTGTAATGACTTCAGACTTGCAATTCATCTACAGTTTTGGATATGAATTGCAGCTTGTTGATTTATATTTTTTATATTTTTTTTGTATTTTGTGATAATTTCTGTAATATGGCAAAAAATTGGTAATAATTGCAGCAAAGAAAAATTAAAAGTGAATATAGGAAAGAGTAAGGTGATGAGGATAACAAAAAGATTAGGTGATGAAAGATTGGATATCAGATTGGAGAGAGAGAGTATGGAGGAGGTGGATATCAGATTGGAGAGAGAGAGTATGGAGGAGGTGAATGTATTCAGATATTTAGGAGTGGACGTGTCAGCAGATGGGTCTATGAAAGATGAGATGAATCATAGAACTGATGAGGGGAAAAGGGTGAGTGGTGCACTTAGGAGTCTGTGGAGACAAAAAACTTTGTCCTTGGAAGCAAAGAGGGGAATGTATGAGAGAAGCATGGGTGGTGAATGTTGCAACGAGGAGAAGGCTGGAGGTAATGGAGATGTCATGTCTCAGGGCAATGTGTGGTGGGAATATAATGCAGAGAATTCGTAGTTTGGAAATTTGGAGGAGGTACGGGATTACCAAAACTGTTATCCAGAGGGCTGAGGAGGGGTTGTTAAGGTGGTTCAGACATGTAGAGAGAATGAAACAAAACAGAATGATTTCAGGAGTGTAAAAATATGTAGTGGAGGGAAGGCGGGGTAGGGGTCGGCCTAGGAAAGGTTGGAGGGAGGGGGTAAAGGAGGTTTTTGTGTGCGAGGGGCTTGGACTTACAGCAGGCATGCGTGAGCATATTTGATGGGAGTGAATAGAGACAAATAGTTTTTAATACTTGATGTGCTGTTGGAGTGTGAGCGAAGTAACATTTATGAAGGGATTCAGGGAAACCGGCAGGCCGGACTTGAGTCCTGGAGATGGGAAGTACAGTGCCTGCACTCTGACGGAGGGGTGTTAATGTTGCAGTTTTATAACTGTAGGGTAAAGCACCCCTCTGGCAAGACAGTGATGGAGCGAATGATGATGAAAGTTTTTCTTTTTCAGGCAACCCTGCCTTGGTGGGAATCGGCCAATGTGTCAATAAAAAAAAAGTAGTTGCAGCAAATTAATAATGATGGTATTCATGGTAATTAATGATGGTTGCAGCAAACTAATAAAAACTTCATTAACTTGATGATTATAATAATAATAATAATAATAATAATGACAACATTAATAATTTTATTTCAGCATGATACATGTTTGTACAAAGGAGTATAACAATTGAGTGTACATGCCAAAAGGCCCTTTATATGCAGAGTATTTCGGGCAAACTTAAGACTAACTTAGGGTTAATAAAGCAATAACAGTGCACTAATTTTGTACGTATGGTTATTAGGTGAGTTACAATGAATACAAGAGAATTGAATATTCTGTTACTTCATGTTATATGGCTTCAATAAGTTTGGTAGAGAAGAATTACAGTTTTGATTATTAACCTAAGGTGGATGCAGTAGAATGATTAACATTTGAGAGGATTACAGATATTGAGAGTAAGTATATGTTGATTATAATGTTTTATCTATGTTCATGATATTGAGCAAATGCATGTATAGTTTTTATGTATGTATTTATGATGGGAGGCAGTACTACCGTCCTGTCAAATGAGTGTATAACGGAAGCCTGTACAGTGGTCCCTCGTTTTTCGTAATTAATCCGTTCCCGGAGGAGCTACTATAAACAAAATTTACGATTTGCGAATCAATTTTCCCCATAAGAAATAATGTAAATACAATTAATCCGTTCCTGACACCCAGAAGTATTAAAACAAAAAAATTTTTTACATGAAATATAGATATAGTACATAAACAATACAATGGGAAATGATGAATGAAACATTAACAGCATAACACTTACCTTTATTGGAGATTCTTCTTAGTGTATGGGAGACTGGAGGAGGAGAGAGATTGGATTGTTTACAGTTTGGAAGGGGAATCCCCTTCCAGCAACACCTCAGGTACCAATTGCTTTTCTGGGGTTGCTTCTCTTCTCTGTTTCTTAATGCCACTAGGACCACCTTGAGAGTCACTCTAGTCCTGTCTCCCAAAGTAACTGTGGAGAGAGCTCTGTTTCTGTTGTCTCTTTAACACTTCCCTAAAATGGCCCAAGACTTTGTCACTGTACATATTTCTCACCTTCTTTACCACAGGCTTGGCACTAGGAGCTTTCTTTGGAGCCAGGGTAGCTTATTTAGTAATTGCAAGCACTAAAATGAGTGAAATACAGTGGACCCCCGGTTAACGATTTTAATCCGTGCAAGAGGGCTCATCGTTATGCGAAATAATCGTTATGCGAATGAATTTTCCCCATAAGAAATAATGGAAATAAAATTAATCCGTGCAAGACGCCCAAAAGTATGAAAAAAAATTTTTTTTACCACATGAAATGTTAATTTTAATACACACAAACTGAAAAAGGCATGCACAATTAAATGACACTTACTTTTATTGAAGATCTGGTGATGATTGATGGGATGGGAGGAGGGGAGAGAGTGTGTTAGTGTTTAGAAGGGGAATCCCCTTCCATTAGGACTTGAGGTAGTAAGTCCTTTTCTGGGGTTACTTCCCTTCTTCTTTTAATGCCACTAGGGCCAGCTTCAGAGTCACTGGACTTCTTTCGCACAAGATATCTGTCCATAGTGGCCTGTACCTCTCGTTCCTTTATGACTTGCCTAAAGTGTTTCACAACATTGTCAGTGTAATAATCACCAGCACGGCTTGCAATAGCTGTGTGAGGGTGATTTTCATCCATGAAGGTTTGCACTTCAAGGCACTTTGCACAGATTTCCTTAATCTTTGAAGTAGGCAACTTCTTCAATTTCTCTCTCCCCTCCTCCGAAGCAATTTCCTCAGGTGTGGCCTCTTGCTGTTGAAGTTGATCTAGCAGCTCATCAGTGGTTAGTTCTTCATTGTCCTCCTCCACCAACTCTTCCACATCCTCCCCACTAACCTCCAACCCCAAGGACTTTCCCAATGCCACAATGGATTCCTCAACTGGCACAGGATTCTCAGGGTTAGCCTCAAACCCTTCAAAATCCCTTTTGTCTACACATTCTGGCCACAGTTTCTTCCAAGCAGAGTTCAAGGTCCTCTTTGTCACTTCCTCCAAGCCTTACCTATAAGGTTTACACAATTGAGGATATTAAAGTGATCTCTCCAAAACTCTCTTAGAGTCAGTTGAGTTTCTGAGGTCATTACAAAGCACCTTTCAAACAGAGCTTTTGTGTACAGTTTCTTGAAGTTGGAATATAACCTGCTGGTCCATGGGCTGCAGGAGAGGAGTGGTATTAGGAGGCAAAAACTTCACCTTAATGAAGCTCATGTCCCCATAAAGTCGCTCTGCCACGTCTGTAGGATGACCAGGGGCATTGTCTAACACCAGGAGGCACTTAAGTTCTAATTTCTTTTCAGTTAGGTAATTTTTCACATTGGGGGCAAATGCATGGTGTAACCAGTTATAGAAAAATTCCTAGTGCCCCATGCCTTACTGTTTGCCCTCCACAGCACACACAAATTATCCTTGAGGACATTCTTTTGCCTGAACGCTCTGGGAGTTTCAGAGTGATACACTAATAAAGGCTTCACTTTGCAATCACCAGTAGCATTGGCACACATCAACAAAGTAAGCCTGTCTTTCATAGGCTTATGTCCTGGGAGTGCCTTTTCCTCCTGAGTAATGTAGGTCCTGCTTGGCATTTTCTTCCAGAACAGGCCTGTTTCATCACAATTAAACACTTGTTCAGGTTTCAGTCCTTCAGTTTCTATGTACTCCTTGAATTCCTGCACATATTTTTTCAGCCGCTTTGTGGTCCGAACTGGCAGCCTCACCATGCCTTATCACACTATGGATGCCACTACGCTTCTTAAATCTCTCAAAACCAACCTTTGCTGGCCTTAAATTCACTCACATCATCACTAGTTGCAGGCATTTTTTTAATTAAATCCTCATGCAACTTCCTAGCCTTTTCACATATGATCGCTTGAGAGACGCTATCTCCTGCTATCTGTTTTTCATTTATCCACACCAATAAGAGTCTCTCAACATCTTCCATCAATTGCGATCTTTGTTTCGAAAACACAGTTGAACCTTTGGCAAGAACAGCTTCCTTGATTGTCTTTCTGGTGCCCACAATAGTAGCGATGGTTGATTGGGGTTTCTTGTACAGCTTGACTAGGTCGGCTATACGCACTCCACTTTCATACTTATCAATTATCTCTTTCTTCATCTCTATAGTAATTCTTACCCTTTGAGGTGTAGGGTTGGCACTAGAAGCTTTCTTGGGGCCCATGGTCACTTATTTTCCAGAAACAGCACCGAAAATACTGTAATAATACGAAATATTCCGAGTGTATGCTTGGATGTTACCGCGGAGGCTGGCTGGTAAACAATGGGACGGAGCGGCACATGTGAGGCTGGCTGAGGGCACATTGGACGCGTCTCGGACGAAAATCGGTATGCGGGTTTTTAATCGGTATGCGCGGCAAAAATTTTGCGATAAAAGTAATCGTTATGCGGAAAAATCGCTATGCGATGCCATCGTTATGCGGGGGTCCACTGTATTATGAAATATTTCTTAGGAGCACTTGAGGGGACCTTCACTCACTGGTAAACAATGCCAGAGTGGCTGAGTAGGGAGGCCGCCCCGGCTCACACCGTGCGTATGCGTCCCGGACGAACTACTATTCGCGAATCAACCTATGAAAAGCGAGTCCATGTTTATACGAAAATACCCCTATGATTGGCGAAATTTACGATTGCCGAGAACTACGAAAAGTGAGGGACCACTGTACTTGTTTTACATGATGGTAGGATTGCTGGTGTCTTTTCTGTCTCATAAACGTGCAAGATTTTAGGTACGTCTTGCTACTTCTACTTACACTTAGGTCACACTACACATACATTTTTTTTTTTTTTTTAACAAGTTGGCCGTCTCCCATCGAGGCAGGGTGACCCAAAAAGAAAGAAAATCCCCAAAAAGAAAATACTTTAATCATTATTCACCACTTCCACCTCACTCGTACATAATCACTATTTTTCCAGAGGTGCCCAGATACAACAGTTTAGAAGCATATATAAAGCTATATAACATATCCCTCCACACTGCCAAATCCCAAACCCCTCCTTTAAAGTGCAGGCGTTGTACTTCCCATTTCCATTACTCAAATCCGCCTATATAAAAACAACCGGTTTCGCTGAATCTGTTCACACTCCAACAGTTCATCAGGTCCCAGAAACAATTCATCTCCATTCACTCCTATCTAACACGCTTACGCGCGCTTGCTGGAAGTCCAAGACCCTTGCCCATAAAATCTCCTTTACCCCCTCTCTCCAGCCTTTTTGAGGACGACCCCTACTCTGCCTTCCTTCCCCTACAGATTTATATGCTTTCCATGTCATTCTACTTTGATCCATTCTCTCTAAATGACCAAACCACCTCAACAACCCCTCTTCATGTACAAGCATATACTTATGTATATACACACCCCTCTGGGTTTTCTTCTATTTTCTTACTAGTTCTTGTTCTTGTTTATTTCCTCTTATCTCCATGGGGAAGTGAAACAGAATTCATCCTCCATAAGCCATGCTTGTTGTAAGAGGCGACTAAAATGCCGGAAGCAAGGGGCTAGTAACCCCTTCTCCTGTGTAAGTTACTAAATTTAAAAAAAGAAACTTTTGTTTTTCTTTTTGGGCCACCCTGCCTCAGTGGGATACGTCCAGTTTGTTGAAAGAAGAAGAAGATTTATGATGAGCTGGGATAGGTTAAGGGAATATGGTGTTTTCTAACTGTAATTTTAAAAATGCTAGCTAAGCCAGTTTATCTGGAGATTTCTGGCAGAGCATTCCAGGTTTTGGGCCCTTTTATGTACATTGAGTTTTTGAAAAGATTTAGCCTGACACAGGGAATGTCATAGAGATTTTTGTGCCTAGTAATGTGTCTGTGGGTTCTATTGCAACTGCCAAGAAAGTGTTTCAGGTCGGGATTTATATTAGAATTGATTGTTCTGTAAATGTAGGTTGCACAGTAGTGCGAGTGAATGTTTTGTATAGTGAGTAGGTTTAGGTCTTTGAAAAGTGTGGGGAAGGGGATGTTGTTGTCTAGCAGTGGATTGTGTGATCATTCGCACTTCAGCTTTTTGTTGGGTTATTATTGGCTTCAGGTGATTTGTTGTTGTGGAACCCCAGGCACAAATAGCATAGGTGAGGTATGGGTAGATCAGTGAATAGTGTAGTGTAAGTAGTGCTGTTTGTAGTACATAGTAATGCATCTTTGAGAGGATGCCAACTGTTTTAGATACTTTTTTAGTTATGTGTTGGATATGGGTGTTGAATATCAAGTTGCTGTCAAGGTGCAGACCCAGGAATTTTCCCTCATTATGTTTAGCAATGAGGATGTTGTTAAGTTACTACTCTAACTTGATAATGACTGCAGTAACTTGGTAATGACTGCAGTTACTCGATAATGATTGCAATAACTTGATAATGATTGCAGTAACTGTGTGTGTGTCTGCCTCTATAGAAGATCCACAAAAATGTCCTTAACTTAAGTATTTTGTGGCTACAATTTGCCTCCTCTTATCTTTTGCTGACATATATTGTTTAGAATTAAGACACTGTATTTTATGAAGGGATTCAGGAGAACCAGTTAGCTGGACTTGACTCCTAGAGGTGGGAAGGACAGTCCCAGCACTCTGAAGGCAGAGATGGGGATGATTTCAGTTTTCAGTTGGAGGGTAGTCTGAATTGTGATGTTAGGCACACTTCTGGAAAGACAGCAATGGGATGAATGATGGTGAAAGTGTTTTCTTCTTTTGATCACCCTAACAGCAAATATATGTATTTTCTTTTGTTTAGAATATGCAAGGCATGTTGGAAGGCTTCCTGACTCACCTGTCTACAATTAGTCAGGAAATACAGTCTCTTCAAGAACAGTCAGCCACAATCAATGTCCAGCTGACCAATAGGAAACAAGTTCATTCAGAGATGTCATCATTCATTGATCAGCTCATGGTCCCTGAAGTTATGATACAGTAAGATATTAATATTTTCTGTTATAACATTTGTGCTGTGAGTTCACACTCAGTTTTTTTTAATGAACTGTGAACTGTAGAAAGAATATTTTATAATATGATAAACACTTGGGATTTTAATTAACTGTGACTGAATGTGGGACTAACTTTACCCAGTAAATAAAGTATCTTGGTGAAGGTTAATAAAGTATCTTAGTAGTGTAGTTATAGTGGCCTCACTGCATGTGGTGAAGGTTAATAAAGTATCTTAGTAGTGTAGTTATAGTGGCCTCACTGCATGTGGTGAAGGTTAATAAAGTATCTTAGTAGTGTAGTTATAGTGGCCTAACTGCATGTGGTGAAGGTTAATAAAGTATCTTAGTAGTGTAGTTATAGTGGCCTCACTGCATGTGGTGAAGGTTAATAAAGTATCTTAGTAGTGTAGTTATAGTGGCCTCACTGCATGTGGTGAAGGTTAATAAAGTATCTTAGTAGTGTAGTTATAGTCGCCTCACTGCATATGGTGAAGGTTAACCCTTTGACTGCTTTGGTCGTATATATACGTCTTACGAGCCACCTTTTTTGACGTATATATACATGTACTCATAAATTCTAGCGGCTTCAAATCAAGCAGGAGAAAGCTGGTAGGCCCACATGTGAGAGAATGGGTCTGTGTGGTCAGTGTGCACCATATAAAAGAAATCCTGCAGCACACAGTGCATAATGAGAAAAAAACTTCGACTGTTTTTTTTAATTAAAATGCCGACTTTGTGGTCTATTTTCGTATAGTATTTATGGTTGTCTTCTCGTTTTCTTGGTCTGATTTGATAGAATGGAAAACATATTATAGAAATAGAGGTGATTTTGATTGGTTTCACTATGAAAAGAACCTTGAAATGGAGCTCAAAGTAGGGGAAATGTTTGATTTTTGCCGATGTTCAAAAGTAAACAAATGATGTCATTTTCCAATAAATGTCCAAGTAGCCATTCTAATATGCAGGCATGAATGGGTTGACATTATTTATACAATTATTACAATATTTCAGTAGTCTGCATAACAGTAAATCTTCTATTTTTTGTTTGAATAAAAATTCAAAATATAAAGCAAGAGTAATATCAGAGGAGCCTGGAGACGTGACTGATGAACAAAGAAAATGTTATTTTATATCCAGGAATGTCTGCATTGTTCATTCTGGACCCTATTTTGAAATTGTCGTATTTTTTAATTTTCGTGAAATTGGCCAAATTGCAAATTTTTGACCACGTTATTGGGTAGTTGAAATCGGTAGATGGGCAGTTTCTTGTACTAAATTGATAGAAAAAATGGAGTTCTAAAGAAATAGCAATGAGTTTGGTCGACTGGCACAATGGAATTAGCCGAAAATAAGGCTCATATTGGGCAAAATCGTCGATTCGTAAATATCGCCAAGGTTGCTAACTTCGCAAGAGTGTAATTCCGTCAGTTTTCCATCAAATTTCGCTCTTTTGGTGTCATTATAATTGGGAAAAGATTCTCTATCATTTCATGAAATTTTTTTTTTTCGGAAATTTTGTGACACTAGGAGACACCTCAGGATTTGGGGTTGCGACAGTATCTTAGTAGTGTAGTTATAGTGGCCTCACTGCATGTGGTGAAGGTTAATAAAGTATCTTAGTAGTGTAGTTATAGTCTCCTCACTTCATGTAGTGAAGGTTAATAAAGTATCTTAGTAGTGTAGTTATAGTCTCCTCACTTCATGTAGTGAAGGTTAATAAAGTATCTTAGTAGTGCAGTTATAGTCACCTCACTGGATGTAGTGAAGGTTATGTAAGTGTCTTAGTAGTGCAGTTATAGTCACCTCACTGCATGTAGTGAAGGTTATGTAAGTGTCTTAGTAGTGCAGTTATAGTCACCTCACTTCATGTAGTGAAGGTTATGTAAGTGTCTTAGTAGTGCAGTTATAGTCACCTCACTTCATGTAGTGAAGGTTATGTAAGTGTCATTAGTAGTGCAGTTATAGTCACCTCACTGCATGTAGTGAAGGTTATGTAAGTGTCTTAGTAGTGCAGTTATAGTCCACCTCACTTCATGTAGTGAAGGTTATGTAAGTGTCTTAGTAGTGCAGTTATAGTCACCTCACTTCATGTAGTGAAGGTTATGTAAGTGTCTTAGTAGTGCAGTTATAGTCACTCACTCATGTAGTGAAGGTTATGTAAGTGTCTTAGTAGTGCAGTTATAGTCACCTCACTGCATGTAGTGAAGGTTATGTAGTGTCTTAGTAGTGCAGTTATAGTCACCTCACTTCATGTAGTGAAGGTTATGTAAGTGTCTTAGTAGTGCAGTTATAGTCACCTCACTGCATGTAGTGAAGGTTATGTAAGTGTCTTAGTAGTGCAGTTATAGTCACCTCACTCATGTAGTGAAGGTTATGTAAGTGTCTTAGTAGTGCAGTTATAGTCACCTCACTGCATGTAGTGAAGGTTATGTAAGTGTCTTAGTAGTGCAGTTATAGTCACCTCACTTCATGTAGTGAAGGTTATGTAAGTGTCTTAGTAGTGCAGTTATAGTCACCTCACTGCATGTAGTGAAGGTTATGTAAGTGTCTTAGTAGTGCAGTTATAGTCACCTCACTTCATGTAGTGAAGGTTATGTAAGTGTCTTAGTAGTGCAGTTATAGTCACCTCACTTCATGTAGTGAGGTTATGTAAGTGTCTTAGTAGTGCAGTTATAGTCACCTCACTGCATGTAGTGAAGGTTATGTAAGTGTCTTAGTAGTGCAGTTATAGTCACCTCACTTCATGTAGTGAAGGTTATGTAAGTGTCTTAGTAGTGCAGTTATAGTCTCCTCACTTCATGTAGTGAAGGTTAATAAAGTATCTTAGTAGTGTAGTTATAGTCTCCTCACTTCATGTAGTGAAGGTTATGTAAGTGTCTTAGTAGTGCAGTTATAGTCACCTCACTTCATGTAGTGAAGGTTATGTAAGTGTCTTAGTAGTGCAGTTATAGTCACCTCACTTCATGTAGTGAAGGTTATGTAAGTGTCTTAGTAGTGCAGTTATAGTCTCCTCACTTCATGTAGTGAAGGTTAATAAAGTATCTTAGTAGTGTAGTTATAGTCTCCTCACTTCATGTAGTGAAGGTTATGTAAAGTGTCTTAGTAGTGCAGTTATAGTCACCTCACTGCATGTAGTGAAGGTTATGTAAGTGTCTTAGTAGTGCAGTTATAGTCACCTCACTGCATGTAGTGAAGGTTATGTAAGTGTCTTAGTAGTGCAGTTATAGTCACCTCACTTCATGTAGTGAAGGTTATGTAAGTGTCTTAGTAGTGCAGTTATAGTCACCTCACTGCATGTAGTGAAGGTTATGTAAGTGTCTTAGTAGTGCAGTTATAGTCACCTCACTTCATGTAGTGAAGGTTATGTAAGTGTCTTAGTAGTGCAGTTATAGTCACCTCACTTCATGTAGTGAAGGTTATGTAAGTGTCTTAGTAGTGCAGTTATAGTCACCTCACTTCATGTAGTGAAGGTTATGTAAGTGTCTTAGTAGTGCAGTTATAGTCACCTCACTTCATGTAGTGAAGGTTATGTAAGTGTCTTAGTAGTGCAGTTATAGTCACCTCACTGCATGTAGTGAAGGTTATGTAAGTGTCTTAGTAGTGCAGTTATAGTCACCTCACTTCATGTAGTGAAGGTTATGTAAGTGTCTTAGTAGTGCAGTTATAGTCACCTCACTGCATGTAGTGAAGGTTATGTAAGTGTCTTAGTAGGCAGTTATAGTCACCTCACTTCATGTAGTGAAGGTTATGTAAGTGTCTTAGTAGTGCAGTTTATAGTCTCCTCACTTCATGTAGTGAAGGTTAATAAAGTATCTTAGTAGTGTAGTTATAGTCTCCTCACTTCATGTAGTGAAGGTTATGTAAGTGTCTTAGTAGTGCAGTTATAGTCACCTCACTTCATGTAGTGAAGGTTATGTAAGTGTCTTAGTAGTGCAGTTATAGTCACCTCACTTCATGTAGTGAAGGTTTATGTAAGTGTTCTTAGTAGTGCAGTTATAGTCACCTCACTGCATGTAGTGAAGGTTATGTAAGTGTCTTAGTAGTGCAGTTATAGTCACCTCACTTCATGTAGTGAAGGTTATGTAAGTGTCTTAGTAGTGCAGTTATAGTCACCTCACTTCATGTAGTGAAGGTTATGTAAGTGTCTTAGTAGTGCAGTTATAGTCACCTCACTTCATGTAGTGAAGGTTATGTAAGTGTCTTAGTAGTGCAGTTATAGTCACCTCACTGCATGTAGTGAAGGTTATGTAAGTGTCTTGTAGTGCAGTTATAGTCACCTCACTTCATGTAGTGAAGGTTATGTAAGTGTCTTAGTAGTGCAGTTATAGTCACCTCACTGCATGTAGTGAAGGTTAACGGAAGGTTCTGCTTTTTGAAATGTACAGTAATAAAATTGTGTAAAATCAAAGTTGCACAAAATGAGACCTTACTCTACAGTGCCCACAAAAATAAACCAGACCCTCCTTCATACCTTTGACCTTTGAATACCTTTGAAGAGTTTTGAGAGTTTATCTACTCTGAGCCCAGCCATGGGCCAGGCTCATCTGGTGCTTGCCTGGTCAACCAGGCTGTTGCTGCTGGAGGCCTGCTGCCCCACATATTGATCACAGCCTGGCTGATCTGGCACCTGGTGAAGATACTTGTCCAGTTTCCTCTTGAAGATTTCTATAACTGTTCCAGCAGTGTTTCGATATGGCCGGTGTGTTGAAAGAAAGAAAGATATATGGTAATCCTAGGTAGTAGGTTGGTAGACGGCAACCACCCAGGGAGGTGCAACCATCCTGCCAAGTGAGTGTAAAATGAAAGCCTGTAATTGTTTTACATGATGGTAGGATTGCTGGTTATAGGTAGTAGGTTGGTAGACAGCAACCACCCAGGGAGGTACTACCGTCCTGCCAAGTGAGTGTAAAACGAAAGCCTGTAATTGTTTTACATGATGGTAGGATTGCTGGTGTCCATTTTTCTGTCTCATAAACATGCAAGGTTTCAGGTATGTCTTGCTACTTCTTCTTACACTTAGGTCACACTACACATACATGTACAAGCATATATATACACACCCCTCTGGGTTTTCTTCTATTTTCTTACTAGTTCTTGTTCTTGTTTATTTTCTCTTACCTCCATGGGGAAGTGGAACAGAATTCTTCCTCTGTAAGCCATGCGTGTTGTAGGAGGCAACTAAAATGCCGGGAGCAAGGGGCTAGTAACCCCTTCTCCTGTATGTATTACTAAATGTAAAAGGAGAAACTTTCGTTTTTCCTTTCGGGCCACCCCGCCTCGGTGGGATATGGCCGGTCTGTTGAAAGAAAGAAAGGATTGCTGGTGTCTTTCCTGTCTCATAAACATGCAAGATTTCAGGTGCGTCTTGCTACTTCTATTTACACTTGGGTCACACTACACATATATGTACAAGCATATATATACACACCCCTCTGGGTTTTCTTCTATTTTCTTACTAGTTCTTGTTCTTGTTTATTTCCTCATTTCCATGGGGAAGTGAAACAGAATTCTTCCTCTTTAAGCCATGCATGTCATAAGAGGTGACTAAAATGCTGGGAGCAAGGGGCTAGTAACCCCTTCTCCTGTGCCATTACTAAAGCTAAAAACAGAAACTTTTGTTTTTCTTTTCGGGCCACCCTTCTTCAGTGGAATATGGCTGATTTGTTGAAAGAAGAATAAAAATTATTACTCAAATATGTTATGTAGGAGATACAGTAAATTTCAGTATTTTGATGTATTTGAGCTGAATAGGAAGATTAAAACTCACACAATGCATAGTTTTATCCATCTGAGTAGATGAGTAATTTATATACAAAAATAACATCAACTATATATCAGATTCACTCTTGGCTAGAGACAGTCATTAATAACAAAAACAAAGATTTATTTCTTTGCAAAGGTTTCAATGTGTAATTACATTTTTGATGTGTTAGGTACAAAGAAAGCCACTATCATGCCAGGGCATTTTGGCAGACTGATCCTAATACTTAAAGACCACTTAAGTTTAGACTGAATAAAAGTGGTTAATTTTTAATTATACAATATTTAATCTTATTACTAATGCGAGATAGTCAAAATTTAAAAGTTTATAAGATTAATAATTTTGATGTTGCACATCACGATAAACAGAATTACAAGTAGTACAATTAATAATGGTAAAAACAGTACTATTTTAAGTATGAGTTGATGTTTTTGTAGACTAAAGGTCATGTAGTATTTGGGAAAATTGCTTCAGTTGGTTAGATGATTCGTGAAACAACTATGAAGTATAATATATGATTTATAGTGGTACTATTGTTTTTAACTTGTCTCAAAGGGTAAAAAATTCTTATTTTCATCCTTCATTTTAAAGTGTTTGAAAGTGCTGGAATAATGCCACATTAATTTTGTCTTGACAACAGCCACATTCTCAACACCTCGGTGACAGATGAACTCTTTATGCAGCAACTTAAGGCCCTCAATCAAAAGAGCAAATTTATCAAGGAACAAAATTTTAGAGGTAAGTAAAGTACAGTACAGTACTTGTATATTTAATAGGAATCACGGAATTAGTTTTCTGTTTTTTTTTTTCACTCATTACCCATGGCAGTACAGTATGAAAAATGAATATCGTCTCAGAAACAAGACTGAGGCTAACAAATTTATAAAGGTTTTGATATCAGAGTATAAATGGAGTACTATTTTCAAAAACTCATCAGCTAAAGGATGTGATGGAGAAGAAAAAATTTTTTTTAGTGGGTTTAAAGATAAAAGAAATGCTACAAGATACAGAAATCATAAACAGAAATCTTAAGCCTAATTTTTTTTTTCCAATGAACTGGCCATGCCCCACCAAGGCAGAGTGACCTAAAAAGAAAAATTTAAGTTTTTCTTTTTTTAGGTTTTTTAAGTTTTTCTTTTTAAATTTAGTAATTTATTTAGGAGAAGGGGTTACTAGCTCCTTGCTCCCAGCATTTTAGTCACCTCTTACAACATGCATGGCTTGCAGAGGAAGAATTCATAAATAAGCATAAATATTTTTGAAATTTTAGTAGAGTACTGTGTTGTAGCAGAAATCCAGAACCAAGATGAAAAACTGATAATTATAAACGGACATTAACTACCTCGTAAACACACACAAGAGAGAGGAAATTGATGAGATATTGAAAGACTGTATATATTCTACAAGAACTGTTACTGAGAAGGGATCATGAATGGACAAAAATATTTGTTACCTGAAATTTCAATTACTGTACTGTGAAAAATTAGACTATATACCCTATGAGACTAAGTGTTAAGTAAGTAAACCAGATTCTTCAGTGTAGGAACATTTTGTTTTCATTCATCAGCTGGTTAAAAAGTGACTCAAGGGAGAAAATACACACTTTGTCACATCTTCAAGAAGTATTGTATAAGGCGTAGTGCTATAAATTTTTAAAAACCACTTGGTAAAATTGATCATGTTCTTTTGGAAACATTGTTTGTTACAGGGTATGATGGTGGGAAGTAAAAAGAAAAATATATACAGGCATACCTCATTAATACGGCTCTCATTTTAGAGCACTTTGCTACTACGGCTCTTTTCAATTATACAGTGGACCCTCCCTTTCTGTGGATCTCTGTTATCGCTGATTTCAGTTTTCGCCAACTTTTTTTGTCAAAATATTGCCTCCGTTTTCGTTGATGATACGGAACCTATCCAGTGCCCAGTGCGCACACAAAGCCACCTCCCACACACATTCTCAGGCAGCGTCGTGTTGTTTCTCGGTGAATGAACATATCCTGCAAGGTCATACGAAACATTTTGTAATAATCCATTGTTTTTGGCACTTGTTTATTGTGTGTGACTGCTAAATAAGCCACCATGGGCCCACAGAAAGCTCCTAGTGCCAGTCCTTTGGTAAAGAAAGTGAGGAAGACCGTAGAATTAAAGAAAAAGATTGTAGAAAAATACAAAAGTGGTGGTGGTAGTGATGGTGGTAGAAAGTGGTAGTGATGGTGGTAGAAAGTGGTAGTGATGGTGGTAGAGGGTAGTAGTGGTTGTGATGGTGGTGGAGGGTGGTAGCAGTTGTGATGGTGGTAGAGGGTGGTAGTGGTTGTGATGGTGGTAGAGGGTGGTAGTGATGGTAGTAGAAGGTGGTACTGGTTGTGATGGTGGTGGGGGGTGGTTGTAATAGTGGTAGAGGGTGGTAATGGTTGTGATGGTGGTAGAGGGTGGTAGTGGTTATGGTGGTGGTAGTGGTTGTGATGGTGGTAGAGGGTGGTAGTGATGGTAGAGGGTGGTAGTGGCTGTGATGGTGGTAGTGATGGTGGTAGAGGGTGGTAGTGGTTGTGATGGTGGTAGTGATGGTGGTAGAGGGTGGTAGTGGTTATGACGGTGGTAGAGAGTAGTAGTGATTTGTGCAATGTGGAGTAGGGTGCAAACATTTGTGGAGAAATGACAATGCCATGTCCCATTTTAGGGAAATTTTAAAGAGATGCTAGAAACAGAGCTCTCTGGACCAATTTTTTGTGTGACAGGGGTCCAGTGACTCTCAAGCGGATTAATTGGATTTACATTATTTCTTATGGGGAAAATGGTTTCAGTTTTTGCCGATTTCTGTTATCACCGATCTCTCTGGAATGGACTAATGACGAAAACTGAGGGTCCACTGTATTCATGTTTATTATTTCTGGTGCTTCCTTGCTCTTAAGATGATTTTCAGCAATTTTCATCCTTTATTGTAGCAGTATTTCCACATATGTTACCTGTCTTATTCTATGTACAGTAAAATTGAGTTTTCAGATACTGTATTTAATAAAAACTACACACTGATTTATTGGATTTGTTGTAAACAAAAAGTTTTTCAGATGTTTAATAAAACCTACGCATTTGACTTTTTTAGATTTATTGAAAATTTCCTTTTATCCAGATGCTCATTCCTGTCAAGATGTTCAAGACATCGTAGACAAGCTCACAGTGAAGGCTGTAAGTAAGATCCGAGAATATTTACTCCAGAAGGTGTACCAATTCCGAAAGCCTCTCTCTAACTACCAGATACCGCAAAATGCAATGATTAAGCACAAGTAAGAATTCCCTCACATTCATCGTATATATACCACACATAATGTTATTTTATTAACTAATAACTAAGATGATTGACTGAGTAGTTTGCACACTTCTGCTTTATTACAAAGGAGATTTGTACTGCTATTATATTTTTGTCTTGCAGGTTTTTCTTTGAGTTCCTATTGCTGCATGCAAGAACAATAGCTGCAGAAATTCATGATGAGTATGTTGAAACGATGAGTAAAGTCTACAGTTCATACTTCCAGTCATACACAAAGCAGCTGTGGAAGTTGCAGGTTGGTTCCTTATGTGCCCAGCCAAGTTTTAAAATCAAATGTTGCAAGATTAAAACAAAAATAAATCAGATGGTGTGTACTTGCATTGTACTACCATCTGTATGTGAGGGTGTATGTGAGAGTGTATGTGAGGGTCCAGATGATGTGTATTACCATCTGTATGTGAGGGTCCAGATGATGTGTATTACCATCTGTATGTGAGGGTCCAGATGATGTGTATTACCATCTGTATGTGAGGGTCCAGATGATGTGTATTACCATCTGTATATGAGGGTCCAGATGATGTGTATTACCATCTATGTGAGGGTCCAGATGATGTGTATTACCATCTGTATGTGATGGTGTATATGAGGGTGTAGATGATGTATACTACTGTATCTGTATATGAGGGTGTAGATGGTGTGTGCTTGTATTTTCCTACCATATTTAGTTTGGCACCTTCAGTGTTATACATTATTTCATGACTAATCATTGTTGGCAGAATGGTTGGGTTAGAAAAAATATGATAATGTAAATCTTTGGTGTCTTTTTTTAATATATAACATCTTGAAATATAATTTATCTATCAGAAAAAAAAGAGGAGTGGCAATTGTAGTTCAGATGAGTGACAGAAATTTAATGTTGTATTAATAACAATGTTTTATTTAAGACAGGTAAATACTCACAAACTCAATGCTCAAATAAAAACTTAGTATCTACAAATATCTCCATAAGGAAGTGAAGAGGATTTCTTCCTCTGTAAGCCATGTGTGCCATAAGAGGCGACTAAAATGCCGGCAGCAAGGGGCTTGTAACCACTTCTTCTGTATGAATTACTAAATTAAAAAAGAAAAACTTTAGTTTTTCTTTTTAGGTCACACTGCACAATCCAGGGCAACATGGGTTCGGAGCAGGTTGCTCCTGCCTCTCACAACTACTGGATCACTATGATATGGTCTTGGATGCACTGGAAGAACAACAGAATGTAGGTGTAATATACACAGACTTTGCAAAAACGTTTGACAAGTGTGATCATGGCATAATAGCACACAAAATACATGCTAAAGAAATAACTGGCAAAGTGGGGAGATGGATCTTCAACTTTCTAACCAACCGAACACAAAGAGTAGTGGTAAACAGAGTTAAATCAGGAGCAGCAATAGTGAGAAGCTCTCTTCCACAAGGCACAGTACTCGCCCCCATCCTGTTCCTCATCCTCATATCGGACATAGACAGAGATATAATCCACAGCACCGTGTCATCCTTTGCAGATGATACTATGATCTGCATGAGACTCATCTATTGAGGACACTGTTTACCTCCAAGAAGATATAAACCAAGTTTTCCAATGAGCAATGGAAAACAATATGGTGTTCAATGATGACAAATTCCAACTACTCCGTTATGGAAAACTGGAGGAGATAATAACTAGAACTGAGTATACTATAAACTGATCATACAGTAGAGCAAAATATATGAGGGACCTGGGAGTGGTAATGTTTGAGGATCTCACTTTTAAGGATCACAACAATGCCATGATCACAACTGCAAAGAAAATGATAGGATGGATAATGAAAACGTTCACAACAAGAGATGCCAAGCCAGTGATGATCCTTTTCAAATCACTAGTTCTCTCTAGGCTGGAGTATTGCTGTACATTAATATCTCTGTTCAAAGCAGGTGAAATTGCAGTTCTAGAGAGTGTACAGAGAACCTTTGCTGCACATATAAGTTCCATCAAACACCTCAACTGCTGGAAGCGCTGGGAAGCACTTGACTTGTATGCTGGAACACGGGGAAGAGGTACATCATAATTACATTGGAAATTTTTAAAAGGAAGGGTCCCAAATCGCCACAGAAACCACCCCCCTACGAAAGTAAAAGTGGGCAGGCATGCAAAATACCCCCAATAAAAAAGTAGGGGGCCATTTTTTACACTAAGGAAAAACCATAAGCATCTGGGGCCCAAGCTGTTCAACGCCCCACCATGAAAAGGGGGAAATTTACCAATGGGCCCCCTGGCTGCCTTAAAGAGGAAGCTGGAAGTATTTCAAGTGTCCCGATCCTGGGCGGGTTTGATTTTGGGGACTATGTGGCTAGCGTAAAAACCCGGGTTATCGGGCCCTATCCCCGGGGCGGGTTTGGGATGGGGCCGGGGGGGCATTTATAGCCAAAATACCCTCAGGGCCCCCGCCTGGGTGGATATGGCTATTTCATTGAAAAAAAAAAAAATATTTCAGTCCCTTAGGTAGTAGGTTGGTAGACAGCAACACCAAGGGGGGTACTCCCCTCCCCCAAGCGATGAAAAGTGGAAGCCGTAATTGTTTTAATGAGGAGGATTGTGGTCCCTTTTTTTTGTTCTAAACATCAAATTTCGGTTTGTCTTCACTTTCTTACATTTAGGTCAACTACACTATATGTAAAAGCATAATATACAATATATAGGTATGGTTGGAGACAGAAACCCCCCAGGGAAGTCTACGTCCTCCCGATGACGGGAAAAACAAAAACCTGTAACTGTTTTGCATGAGGTAGGATTGCTGGTTTTTTTTTCGTTCATAAACACGCTAAGTAACAGGGTACTTGTATCCTACTTACATTTGGGTCCCACTTCAAGACACGCACATGCATTTATATATACATACATCTAGGTTTTTCCCCTTTTTTCTAAATAGCTCTTTTGTTTTTTTTTATTTCTTCTTTTGTCTGGGGAGGGGGAAAAGAATCTTTCCCCCGTAACCCTGCGTGTCGTATGAGGCGACAAAAACCCCGGGCAAGGGTGTAACCCCTTCCCTGTATAAAATTAAAAAAAAAGAGAAGAAAAAAAACTTTAAAAAACGGGGTTGTTTAAAATGGGGTGGAGGGGGTATGCGGTGACAAGAAACAGATGAGTGGTTAAATGAAAGAAGTTGGATGTCCGGGCCCCTAACAAAACAAAGCTAAGGGGGGTGGGAAGTTTCAGTGGGGGGAAATAAATGGGTTTAAAATTGGAGTATCTGAGGGTTAGAGAAAAGGGAAGGGGGTAGCATAATGAAAATGTCAGTTAGGGAAGGGGGAAAAAGAGAATAAAAATGTTTTAAATTCAAAAATTTGTGGATTAAAAGAAAAGGGTTTGGTGCGAGAAGTGGGTCATAATAAGCTGTATGCCCTGGAAAGAGAGGAATCAGAGGAGAGAGAAGTTTTTGGGAGATTTTTAAGTGAATGTATAGGACCCTTTGAACCAAGTGAGAGAGAAATTGGGTAGGGGACTTGAATGCTAAAGTGGGGGAAAACTTTTAGGAGGGTGGGGGGTGGTAATTTTGGGGTCCCAGGTGTAAATAAAATGGGAGCCCTTTGATTAAACTTTGTATGAAAGGGGTTTTTTTGGGTAATACTATTTTAAGAAAAAGAGGATAAAAAAGAACAGATATGTTGGGCGAAAGCAGTAGTTTTTTGGGATTATGTTTTGGGTAGAAAAAAACGTGAGTGACTTCAGGATGTAATGTTTTTTAGGGGCCCGATATATCAGATACTTTTAGTTGTTTACACGAGAGTAAAAGGTGAGGGGATACAAGGAAAAAAAGATCGGGGAAGAGAGAGGTGAAGGTTTTAAAAAAAACAAAAAAGGGGAGCAGTTAGGGTAAGTTTAAAAAGCTATTGGAGGATAGATGGGCTAATGGGCATGGGCAAGGGGTCGAAAGGTATGGGTGGGTTTAAAAAATGTATGTTAGAGTGTTCGCAAAGTTTGGGGTTACGGGAAGGGGGTCAGGGGGGAAGAGGAGGATTGGTGGAATGATGATGAAAGAGAGTAAAAGGAAAAAAAGTTAGCAAGAAAATTTTACAAAGAAAATGTGAAAGGGGGGAAATTAATGGAGAAAAAGAGAGGGGTTTAAGAGGTGGTGAAGCAATGTAAAAAAGAGAGCAAATAAGGTGGGTGAGATGTTACAACAAATTTTGTTGAAAATAAAAAAAGTTTTGGAGTGAGATTAACAAGTTAAAAAAGCCTAAAAAAAATTTGATTTTCATTTAAAAAATAGGGGGGGGAAGTTATTAAAATGGAGAGTTAGAGGTTTTGGGGAAGATGGAAGGATATTTGGGGAAATTTTTAAATGTTGATGAAGATAGGGAACTGTGATTTCGTGTATAGGGAAAGGGGGGAATAACCCTCTTTAGGAATGAGGAAGAGCCAGTTGTGAGTGGGGGGGAATTCGTGAGGAGTAAAAAAATAAAAGGGGGGTAAGGCACCCGGGATTGATGGGATAAAGATAGAAATGTTAAAAGCGGGGGGGATATAGTTTTGGAGTGGTTGGTGAAATTTTTTTAAATAAATGTAGGAAAGAGGGTAGGTACCGGGGGTTGGCAGAGAGCATGCATATTCCCTTTTGTATAAGGCAAAGGGGATAAAAGAGAGTGCAAAATTATAGGGGGATAAGTTGTTGGTGTACCTGGTAAAGTGTATGGTAGGTTATAATTTGAAAGAATTAAGAGTAAGGGAAATAGGTAGAGTGAAAAAGGGGTTTGGGAAAAAGTAGGGGTTTTGGGACCGGGTGTTTCAGTGCCATAAAAGGAACAGTATTTGAAAGGGCTAAAGGTCTTTGGGGCATTTAGGGATTTGGAAAAAGGGTATAAGGGGTGGGGGGCAATGTGGCAGATGTTGAAAGTGTTGGTGTAGGAGGTGGTTACTGAAAGCGTGAAGAGTTTTTACGGGGAAGTGAGCTCGTTAGATTTTGAGGAAAGAGGGAAATTTTTTCCCCAGTAAAAGTAGGCCTTAGACAAGGATGTGTGATGTCCCCGTGGTTGTTTAAATATTTTTAGATGGGGTTGAAGAAAAAAATGCGGGGGGTTGGAAAGGGGGTGGGTTAAAAGAAAAAAGAATCCACACAAAGGGGGATTGTCACAGCTGCTTTTGTGATGACACGTGCTCTTTGGGAGTTCTGAAGAGAAGTTGCAGAGATTGGGGGGAAATTGGTAGGGTTGAAAAAGAAGAAAATTAAAGGGAATACGGAAAGGTAAGGTTATGAGGTAACAAAAAGATTGGGTGA